TGCAGCAAACAACGTCTAGAGTGTGAATGGAAAAAATGCAAAATCTTGTTGTGAGCCACTGAGTTTTGGGGTGGTTTGTTACATAGCATGTTTGCAGGAACAGCTAACAATGCAATAATCAACTGAATAATTCACTGCCGTCTCTTTAGGTCTTATATGTGGAATTTTTGCTCTCATAGTGTCCCATCCATCTGAGCCAGGCTTCTCCCTCAACCATCGTATCTCATATCTAAAGCACAATTGCCAAGAAGATGTGAACTGGCGACAAGAAACCTGGACTTCAACTCCTGTTTGGCCACTTACTAGCTCTGGAGAATCATTAACTTCCCTATGCTTCAATTTTCTCAAGTGTAAAATGAGATTAATCTTATTTACCTTTACAGGCTGTTGTAAGGATATCATGTATGTAAAGCCTGGCACTTACTATGTGCTCTGTAAATGTTTCATATTTTTTTACATGTTTTCTTAGGTAACTTTACCACTATTTAGGACAAGTTCTATTATTATCATCTTAGAGATAAGGAAACTGAGGCTCAGACCAGTTAATTTACTTTTCTTACTGTTATTAGGTGGGAAGATGAGGATGCATATCAGGCTGCAGCATCCAGAATCTGTACCTTTGCCACTGTATTATGTTGCTTGGATGATCTCTGAGATTTCTTTCAGTTTCCCGGGTCCGAAATATAAGTGTCAGAGGCCTAAATAACTGAGATGTCTCATTCTGGTCCAGCATTTTCCAAAGTGTGAGACACGCACTATGGATGTTCCAGGACGTGATTTAGATGGGACAGGACACTGAAGACACTGAATCATATTGTGAGAAAGTCATTTCCTGTTCAATTATCTTTAAATGTCAAGGGAAAAAAAATCTTAGTTGGGTGCTAACGTCTTTAACACTTCTAACACTTGTTAATCTCCCCACTTCTCTCCTTTTTTATAACAAAGTAAGAGCAGGTTCCAGGCACAGAGCCTCTGATAAGTGACAGTACCTTATTAGAATTTCATTAACAGTGATATGTTTTCATTATTTGTTATTACTATTGTTGTTATTTTTCCATTGTCTTCTATTTAAAACATGTACTTCTGGTTTTCCATTTACTATGATATTTTAAAGTCCCTGGGCCGGGAGCTCAGTATAGTCCCTGTGGTGGCCATGGGGCCCTTGGTACAGGGTGAGAGCTTCCCAGCTCAGTGGCCTCCTAGTGCTCAGTGACCAGTGGCTGGATATACTACATTCTTTGGATGCAGGAGCTATTCCAAGGCCACAGCAAGATGTACAAGTTCCCGGTGCATAGTGCCAAGATCTGCCACGGGCATTGCCTGACAGTGGGATCCTTGACAAGATGGCCAACGTCTTCTTACTGAATAAGGACCAGTTAGTTGAATAAAATAATTACCAGGGACATCAGCATAGTGTGGACCAGCTTTGTTGGCACCCAGCAATCCTGAACTATTTGTCACCATGTCTGGAGAGGAAACCATTCTCATTTGGGATGTGAGGACCAGGAAAAGCATTAAAAAATGAATAAATAAATATTAAAGTCCCCTGTAACATGCATTTATTTAACTAAAAAGAGTTGATTTAAGGAAAACAAGTTAAGTAAATAAATAGTATAAATGGTCTGTGAGTAGTAAAAATCACGAGGATGGTAGTTGAATGACGGTCATTTAGGAATACTGTTTTGTGAAAGAGTTTTGCATTTTAATTTTGTCTATATGTCTCGCAGCCTTCCTCTTGTCCCCCGACTCCCAGCCCCATATTTTAGTCCCCATATAAGTCCAAATAACTTATAAGGATTGACTGATTATAAAGCTGGATACAGTTGTAAACATTGAAATACAAACATTAAGCTTGTTTGTCTGAGATGATGTAGCCCAGTAAAAGATACATGAAACTGAACAGCAGAAACCCTGGGTTCTCTTCTGGAATCCCCCACTGGTTAGCTGTGTGACCCTGAACAAATTGCTCCAGCTCTCTGAGTCCCAGTAGCCCCATTTATAAAATAAGGAGTTTTAAGTAGGTGATCTCTAAGGCCCTTTCCAATTGAAAGTGTTTGAATGTTTTCAATATTATTCTTATTAAAAGAATCGCTTTACCATTGAGAATTTCAAATGTTTTTATAATAAACTCTCAGAATCAAGGGCAACAATATATTTGCAATAGAAAGTTCATTAGCATATTTTGATAGTTTTTGATCATTTTTGCATGCATTAAAATGAAACATTCAGTAAAAATTAAACATTATATGCAAATGAGTGCAACAAGCCTACTTTTGGAATAATAATTCATTATCTCCCTTATAATATATGTGAGTGGCTTCTCTTTTTTTTCCAGTACACCATAGCTATTAAGTCAGCATGTTGGAAGTTTACCAAGAAAGTATAACAGAGGATCCAATTTTTCATTTGCATAAATCCCAGAATTCCACCTGTCAAAAATTGTACGCTATTAATAAGTGACAAGACTGTCACTTGTTCATTTATAATGTTGTCACTGGAAACTAATGAACATTTAGGACGTATTTCAGGAATTGTTGTAAATTTTTTCTTTTTTTGCAGGAAACAGAAAAGTGTGTTTGGGTTATAGCAAAAAGGTTTTACACTGGAAAGGTACTTCTAGCAGAGGTGTTGGGTTTTTCCCTTATACAATTTCCCTTCTTTGCTTTTTCAAATAAAGAATTGTATAATTATGATATTAACCTGGAATGAAACTTTGAAGATCTTCTGCTTCCATGCCTTCACGTTATAGGTGAAGGAATTTTGACCCAGAGAGGTCTAGCAACTTGCTCTTGGTTACTCAGTTAGTGGCGGTGCTGGGACTAGAATCCAAGACTTTTGGCTTCTTGTTCAATGTGTTTGTGTATTTCTGTATGTGTTGGTATGCAAGATAAAAATACAAGGACTATAAATATATATGCAAATATAATATGCAATTATTCATGTAGATTTGACAAGAAAGTCAGTGCTAGAGAATCATGAAGTTGGTCGAGTTTCTCATCAATGTCATGGCCCCACTTCCCTGACCTCTTTCTGGACCAGCCACCCCCACCAAATGATTGACTTTTCTGCACATTGCTAGGACTAACTACCCAAGTCACTTTTTTTGAAAATTAATTTGTGATGCACTGTGACATTGTTTGCTTGAAATTTTAATTCAGAGAGATGATGTCTATTGCAGTAGATTGTACATTTCTAGAGGAGCGAGACTGTGCTCTCCCCAGATTTCCACGCATTGTGGCATCTAGACCAGGGCTAGAACAGAGAATGACTAAAATGCAAAGAACCTTAAAAATAAAATGGTCAAAACTACCGATTTTACTGAAATTAGTAGTTTGTCTAAGATTGCACAGCTAGTTAAAGATAGGGTCCTAATATAATATATACAGCCTTCAGATGTTAATAGTATAAAACAACGAGTTGACACCAGAGATGGAGGTTTTGCACGTTTGTCACTTTAAGGTAACTAAAAAGTATACCAATTCTATTTCATTAAAATAAACTCAGGGGCTGGAGCCGTGGCCGAGTGGTTAAGTTTGCACGCTCTGCTTCAGTGGCCTGGGATTTGCCAGTTTGGATCCTGGGTGCGGACCTAAGCCCTGCGTATCAAGCCATGCTGTGGTGGCAGCCCACATAGAAGAACTACAATGACTTACAACTAGGATGTACAACTATGCACTGGGGCTTTGGGGAGGAAACAAAAGAAGAAGATTGGCAACAAATGTTAGCTCAGGGCCAATCTTCCAAAAGAAATAAAAATAAAAGAGAGAGAGATGATGTAGCCTGGCTTAGGATAGTATTATAGAGGCAAAGAGAAAGAGTCAGAATGGAAATATATTTTTAAAATAAATAAATAAATAAACCTCGATATCAGGTTGATAGATTATGTATACCTTTCAAAGTGACCACGTAAATATTGATGTTAACAAATAGATCAGGAAATTCATAGCTGCAATTCCCTAAGCAAAGTGAATGATGGGTTAGTGGGACACAATCTCAAAAGTTGAGTCTCTGGGCGGTCTGGAGTGTAGACTCTGGGAGGAGTGAAGATCCTCCAGACCTGAGACCACATGAAAGCAGGTAAACAACACCTACCACCTCTCCTAACTCACCCAGCCTATGCTGAGGAACACTAGACTCTTCAAAGTTATACTATAGGATTGTGATAGGTTACAATCCTGGCTTGGAATCAGAACCACTTGAATCTGACTTCTTGCTCCTCCCTACCAGCTGCATGACTTTAGACAAATTAATTAGTTTTTGTGAGTTTTATCTAATTTGTAAAGTGGATCTAATTATACCTACTTCATAGGATTGTTGTTAATTTAAATTAAAGGTGAAAACTTAGTGAAGTATTTTAGATGAGTAACTTTCATATAGTAAGTGATCGATAAAGTGCAGCTATTAATAATAGCAGTGGCATCCATAATTGTAGTATTTAACCAATAAACTAGGAAAGCAAGATCCTTGTAGCATCTCATAGCATTAATTATGAGCTGTCTTACATTATAACCATATTAATAGTCTTATCCTCTCTGGACTATAAGTTCCTTGAGGGGGAATGCGTCTTAATCACATTACAGATATGAAAACTGCAGTCCAGAGAGAGTAATGCTCCAGGATCCAACTATCATTCCCAGGAAATCCTATAATTTGAATAGCATCAACTGATATGGATAATTTTTGCATATTTTTAAAACAAAAAAGCTCATTACTCCTTTGCTTATCAAATCATTGTGACCACTTTCTTCCTATTTGGTACGATATTTAAGGCTCTTGGTATATGAGCTCAATCTACCCTTCCAGTCTCATCTCAATCCACTCCTCAAAATTAAGAATATATTTCAGACCCTCTGGTGTTCTCATCATTCCCTGAAAATGCTGTATTATTTCGTTCTTTCATTCTGTCCTGTTCACTCTGTTTTCTGCCTGGAGAAATACAACTTAATATTCAAGAATCAGTTATGAAGCTTTCTCAAACCATATCAAGATAGGAGTGATAATGATGGTTACCATTTACTGAGCCCTTATCCATGCCAGACACTTGTTCCTGGAAGTCACACCATGTTCTGTGATTCTGTTATGACAGTTGTCTTGTTGATTGTGCATCTTGTAAATCTCCATCTACCTGTCATCCTCCCAACTTGACATAACTTCGTGAGAGCAGAGACCAGGATCCACTCATCTGTGTAGACCTAGCACAGATCTCAGTGTAGGTTCTCAGTCACTATCTGTTAATCGATGAATGGTAAGGTTAGGGTTATAATTAATAAGTACTTGTTGAATGAAAACACTGCAGAGAAAATTCAAATATCAGATTAGAGATTGGGCTAATGGTTCCACATTTCTTTCCAACTGTAAGATTTGATGATCTAGCTACCCCCATGTTATCCCCTAAGATTGGGAATTAGAGTAAAAATAAAAGGCAGAGACACCGAGATCTCATGCATATTTGAGCTCTCAGACCTCCCTATCCAGCAGACGCCCAGACATGGATTCTCATACACTTGAACATCTGGAGCTGTTCTTTTCCCCCTGCCTTGGCAGAATCTGTATGGCTTTTCAGCAGACCGTGCATGAGGGTATTTATAAATAATCACCCAAATGTAATGCCACCCAGCCCGCTGGGTTAAATATAGACATTGGATTAGCTCCAGGGAGGAGGGGACAAGTGATTCCCAACTCAAAGAAATTGTTATGAATTCCATTTGCTGCATGAATATGTACAGTGGATGTTTCCTTCCATAAGGACACCAAAATAGCAATTAACTCAAGGCTAATGTTATAGCTGCTACTGTCTCCTCTGCTTAATCTTTCCCCATCTGGATCCCAACACAGATGCTGATGTGTCTAAACGTGTATGTCAAATGACAGCTCTCTCCACACCTGTTCTAAGTATACCTACCCTGCCCCCTGCTCACTGCCTCTGCTTCCCTTTGATGGGAGAAGGTGTCGCATGAGTTACAGCACACCATCTTTCACTTTTATGTCTTGGATCTCAGTAGGATAGTGGAAAGGACTGACCTTTGACTTTAGTCAAAACTGGGTTGAGTCCTTGCTTCACAACTTACAACTTGTGTGGTCTTGGCTAAGTTACTTAACTTCTCTGAGTTCATCCATTTCCATATTTATAAAATGGAGATAATCTTGTTTACCTGAATGTGCATTGGGAAGATTTCAAAGATGCTCTGTGTAAATTGTCTGGCCTACCAGTAGACTCTGGGTAAAATAACTCTTCTCCTTCTCACCTCATAATCTCATTTTATAGACCTCTGGAGATGAAATGGTCATTAGTGATTATCTGGTCCACTGCTTGCATTTAATAGATGAAGAAATTGAGGGTTAGAGAGGTAAATAATGTGTTTCAGAGGTGTCAGATGGAGTTAGAGATTGAGCTAGGACCAGCATTCATGTGCACTGCCTTCAGAACGAGGGTTCTTCCCAACATCATTCATTCATTCATTCATTCATGCTATGCATGCACGTTTTAATATTCGTTGAGCACCTGTCAAGCAGCAGGTTTTGAAAATATAAAAATGAACAAGGAGGTGCAACCCTCACCACCAAGAAAAGTGCTCCCAAGGTAGCACAGAAAAGATCTAATAGTGTTAGCTAACATTTTTGATCTCTCTTCATATGCAACTAAGTGCTGGGAATTGTTTTAAGCACTTTATATACTTAACTCCTTTAATCCTCCCCAAACCATGTGAGATGCAGATATTACTATCTTTCTAATTTTACCTACGAGAAAAAACTGAGGACCAGGGAGGTTAAATGATTTGCACAAGTTTACAGAGCTATGAAGTGGTCGTTATAGGACTTGACCCCAGGCAGTGTTATTGCCAAGTTCATGCTGTTAACCACTAAATTATACCATCTCTTGATGCAGAAATAAGATCTGTGATTTTAACATGACAATCCAGGAAAGCACAAGGACTGTAGGAGTTCCACACTCAGCCACTCCAGCCATCCAGTGGGAGTCAGGAAGGCTTTCTAGAGGAGCTGATTCGGGGAGTGATGTTGTGCACCTGATATTGCTAATGATATATGATATCATTAACTCCAGGGGTGAAAATTTGATAGAACTGCATGAGAGCAGACAAAAGGATCCAATGAATCACAGAAACACAACATAGAGGAGACCAACCTTAGGTTGGGTAGCACTTTACAATTCCTAAAGCACTTTCACACATATTGCTTGCTTGAGCTGCCCAGTACCGCCTTTGTGATGAGGGCAGGGCATGGATCATAATTCCAATTTTACAAATAAGAGAACCACAACTCAGAGATGGTAGCTTCGATCAAAGACACTAAGCAAGATTGTAGAAGAACTGAGAATAAAGTATGGTTCTCCTAGTTATTCAGGGCACTTTCTGTTCATTACCCTGCTCCCTCTTCCCTTTTTCTTTTCCCTGGTTACCTAACCTAAAAATGAAGGAACCTCAATAACTTAGAGAAAAGGATTATTAGTCTGCCCATCAAACTGTCTCCCCAAACATCAGATGTTGGTGTAATCAGGGTTTGGTATGGTTCTTAATCTCGGACAGACCTCAATGAAATCTTCAAACCAGAGCTAGCAGGGTAGATATTCTGCTTTGTTGGTTAAAGTGAGAGGCCTTTCTTGCCAGAAGAGTGAGGCTATAGGGAATGGTAGACTTGTATTCCTGCCCTGGGAGAAAGATTTACCAACCCTATAGTGGGTGTGAGCAAAAGCAAGACAGATAAGCTCATTGTTTTTTAAAGAAAATGTGCTTTGGATCATACAAAGGTTCTGCTCTATATGACAAGAAAGTGATAACATTGTCTGTTGGAAGCTTTTTCAAAGACAGTCATAGCACTCTGATCGTCCAACACATAAACCTCGGTGGCCTCTGGCAGCATATCATTTTGAGGACACCTTTCTGATTGGATGAGTCAGCAATGAAATGTGTCCCTAAGTAGACGGGACTGCTATGTGAGTTTCAGGCAATGTGAACAGGTTTAGACTGCATTATCATCCAATGGTTCCTAACATCTTCTGAGTCATTTATCCCTTTGAGAACATGATGTAAAACCAAGGGCTTCCTCTTAAAAAAAACTGCAAAAGCACATACATACATGCAAAATTTCAACACATTTTCAAGGAGTCCACAGACCACTCTGAGGCCTGAATATAGACACCCTAGTGATCCGTAGACAAAAGGTTAAAATCTCAGAATTTTTTAATTGCTTAGTTACACTTGAGGAGCGTTGGACTATACGTTTCCATAAACAGGGACTGTGTCTTATTCATTATTATGCCTTCCAAAACTAGGAACGTACTATAACAATCTTTGAATTGAGCTGATCTAAATAAAGTGTTGCATCAGTTAGCTATTACCGCATAACAAACTACACCAAAAGATAATGGCTTAAGACAATAGCCACTTAATTAGCTCATAATTCTGCAGGTTAGCAATTTAGACTCAGCTCAGCTGGGTAGTTCTTTTGGTCTCAACTAAGCTCCCTCCTGTGTCTTTGATCAGTTGCGAGCCAGCTACAAGTTGTTGGTGCTATTGACTGGGCTTTAAAACTTATTTGGGGCCTTGACTGGGACCACTGCATTCTCTCATCTATGGTCCACGTGGTCTATCATCTTCAATCAGTGTGACATGAACTAGTTCACATGATAGAGACAGGGAGAAACATACCTTCAGGCTCAGGGTAACTTGACTAGTTTCAGATGCCAGGGACACTCTGTCTGTCTCTCCCAGATGCATTTTACATTATCCCTTCAGGAAATACAATGCTACTGGCCCCGATTAAGTCTCCCATGTCTCATATTTTCTTCCCTTTTCCCTTAGCTAGAAAAAAGCAGAATCATTAATTCACAGAAATATATTAATGACTCAGATCTTTTAACACTGTACTTTGCTATCTGGCATAGTAACATCACCTATGGGTGGCAGGGAGGAGAGCTCTCCAGAGCAGGGTGGCAGTGGCATGGCCACTGGGACAAAAAGGCAGAGCGTCAAGGGTGAAGGGTGGAAGATCCGTGAACATCAAGTTGACCACTTGCAGATATTTAGGCTATAGCTCCAATTATATATAATGGCAACTTCCTCACCTCTCCATGATCACCATGAGGATTTCCTAGAGGAAATCACTAGGGAAGGAAGCAGCTTGGAATTCCTGAAAGCCAGGAGGATGAAGTCTGAAAGCATTGAGATTTGTTATTATCATTAATGTGACATGTGTGTACCAAAGAGAGAGAGCTCACAGGAAGCCCTCTTACCACTCCTTTTCCTGACCAGATTAGTCCCTCTTTGAACTCCCATGGCCTCAGTACATTGCCTATTTAACTGACCACGTTTCCCGTAGAATGTAAGTTCTACTAGCGCAGAGATGTCATTTATACCACAGTCATTCTTGTATACCTGGCAGATGGCAGGAGTCCAATATATAATTATTGGTCGAATTTACTTACAGCTCTCTTTTATGGATAATACAGGAATTTGAGAAGAGAACAAAAGTGACAGGTCTAGGATGTAACAGAACAAAATGCAGTAGTTAGACCTGCTTCCTCATCATTCCACAACCATCCATAAGATTCACCCCATTTCTAAAAGTCTCTGGATCTTCTGATTCAACTTCAAGGCCGGAGATTTTCAGGAGGGTATCAGGTTGCTTATGATGGGTCTATGAAAATGCAAGCAATTTTGGTGTAGGTGGAAAAACAATGATAATAATCGTAATAATCATTATAAAAGAGAAGAGTTATTCTTTTCAACTCTTATTAACCTGGATTTTGTTTAAGAGGTTTCCAATTAGCTTCTTGTATCTCCACAGTTAACCTTTTCTGAACTTTTCTCTTCAGGCTCTCTCTCCCCAAGCCCTCAACCCTCATTTCTGCCCACGAGGTCTCACAGGAATAGCTGGAATCCAGCCTCCTGAACAGCTCCTGAGCTTGGGATAATTGCAATATAATTAATGAATTAAAAAGAATGAAATGTTTTAAGTGCTTTCAATATTCCCTTTCCTATAATTATCTACAGGAAACATGTTCATTAACAATCTTGTGCTGACAGCCCCCAGGCTCTGGATAAGCTAGCTCAGCTTCCAATAAGAAAATGAATGGATGACCTCTCTGGCTCAGGACTCCAACTGCCATGAAGAGAGGACAGGCTAAAGCAAGACCATCATTTGGAAAATTGTTGACCAGATCAGATTCCCTCCCTCTCCTTCAGTCTCAGGGCACCTTGACTAGTCTCACATGCCAAGTATATTCTCTCTGCCTGTCTCCCCAGATCTGTTTTACACTGTCTTTCAAGGAAACACAGTGCTGGTTAGTCCCTATTAAATCTCCTATGTCTCATATTGTCTTCCCTTTGCCCTCAGCTAGGAAAGTGCTGAATCATTAATTCACAGAAATATATTAATGACTCAGATCCTTTAACTCTGTGCCTTGCAGTTAGAGGTAACATCAGCTAGGATGGGGAGCCAGAAAGTACTCTGAGCCACAGGGTATAGCTGGCATAGACGCTTGGGGCTTACTTTTATTTGACCACTGGGAGGAAATATTTATATTACATGAAATATTGATATCTTATGGAATAGAATTCAAAATGTGAATGGATTTTAAAAGATAAAACATTATACTTTAAAAAATTTATGCATATGTGGGGCTGCTTCAGAATGGGTCCCCAACTGCTCCAGGGCACCTGGTCACTGACCATATCACTGTAGGCATTTGTTGTTAAGTATGGCCTAATGAACTATCCCTACTATGGGTACATAGTGCCAGCCCAGGGCAACTAAACTTATATTGTGGAATTTCCATCAATATGCCATACTATGAGAGGGACATTTTGGGGTAGAGTTCTATTTCAGAACCCCACAGCTTTATTTATTCATTAGATACGTGAGTTTCCAATATGTGCAGGTACAAAGCCAAGTGCAGGTTAGAATACACTGATGAATAACATAGGGATTGTGCATTCAAAGATTTTATAGACTAGTAGGGGAGACAAGATTTCTATCTATAAATAACTATAATAGAGACAGGGATAGGAACTGTGAGAGAGGAACAATAAAAGTGTTACGGAAGTCCAGAGGAGATGGATATTATCTCCAACTGAGGGGATCTGAAGACATGTCGAGGAGGAAGAAGATTTTTGGCTGGAACCTAAAGGATGGGTGATGTTTGGATGGGCAAAGATGCAGGAGGATGGTTGTCACCATGTCAGAAAACAATGCTTAGCAGAGGGGCAGAGACTAAGTCAGGAAACAAGGTACTGGCAAGGATGGGCCAGGGATGGGGTACTTGAGGCTAAAGGGACAATTAGAGTGTTGCTACAAGGAAGCAACATGGGAATTGCAGTTTAGGAAGAGTCTGGAAGGAGATCACATGGCACATGCAAGAGGATGAATCAAGAGCAGGCTTTTAGCTTATGAGTGAAAGGAATGTTTGTGTTTCAGAAAGACAGCAGTGTAGGTAGAAGGAGCATGATTTAGGGGTATGGAGTGAGGATGGAGGTAGGAATTCAAGTTAGGAAGCTGGTGAAAAAGTTCATGCAGGCAATAAAGAAGGAGTGATCAGACAACTCCAGATCAAATCCTACCACCTCCTTTTTATACTGACAGGACACCAGGCTGCCACTGTACCTTGGGACAAATACAAATAAATGAAAGTAGAAGAACAGAAGAGTTGAGGTGATGTATGAAGGAGCCACAGGACACACTGAAAAGGCCTGAAAGCTAAGAAAATTAAAAAAAAAATCTGTTTGTATAATAAAATCATCTAAGAATATATTTTTCAGAAGGGGAAATTGGTAACCAATAAAATATTATTGGGCATGTCTTTGGAATACCTACAAAATTCTGTTTTGGGTACAGTCTCTTAGAGGCAGGCTTGTGGGAGACACTGATTAGGGAAGTTGAGTGGGCAGCAGATTTGGGCAGCTGTCAATGTAATAAAATGAGTTGGGACAAGTGGACAGTTTAAGAGTTTGTTGATGTCAGGGCAGGAAAGGGCGTGCTGCCATCAGGTGCCTTTCTCAAGGGTCCCTGAGGTGGGTGCTGCACAGAGTTCAAGGCAGGCAAAGATGGTCAGTTGGACACAGAGATAGAGGCAATTACTTCCAGACCCTCAGACAACTCCAGAAGGCTTTCTGGTTTGAAATCAGCTGGAATCTTTTCAATCCTCTGAGCCCAGACCAAATTGTATTGTCAGTTTCCTTGTTTCTCAAATGGGTCCATCATTTTATATTTTTTCCTTTGTTTGAATGGATCACCATCCTCATACCCTTAAGTCTCTGAATTAAAATAGATGGTCGAGACTTCTGATCTCATAAAGATGAAAGAATATGGCTTCTGGGGTCGGGCCAGTTGGATTGACCCTTTCTTTTTCTTTCTCTTCTTTTCTTACTGCCTTTTACTGAGTGAGCAACGTTGGGCAAGTTTCTTAAAATCTCTGTGGTTCAGGATCCTTATCCATGAGCTGATGTTATGATAGTATTTGCTTCCCAGGGTCATTGTGTGGATTAAGTTAGATAATGCATGTAAGTCATTAAGCAGAGAGCCTGGTATTCATTAAATACCCAGCAAAGGTTCCTTACTATTTTTCTTGTAATTATCATTGTGATTTTTGGTTTGCCATTCTCAGGCTGTCTGGTAGGCTAGTCCTTAAGAAACTATAGCACCATTTCATAGTTTTCCTATCTGGTCATTGTCTCAGAGTTACAACTTCTTGGGAGATACTTTTTTTTAAAGGACTAAACCCATACTCTGTTCTTGGAAGTGAACTAACTATAGGTATTACTCAGGATTATTTGGTTGCAAGTGACAGAAACCCAAGCGGCTCAAGCGAAAAAAAAAAAAAAAAGAATGTGTGGTCTCATATAGCATGCTCCAATGATCATTGGGGAAGCTCAAATACAGTCCAGGAATCTCTACTTTGCGTATCTCAGCTCCGATTTCCTCTTTTGGTATAATCATCAGGAGATGCAAGATGGTCTCCAGTGGCTTCAGGCTCACATTTTACCAGGTGAGCAATCCTTGAAGAGGAGATGTCCATTGGCTTGACATGGTTCTCCTGCCCATTCCAAGTAATCTTATATGGCTAGGTGGTTGGAATAAACTAGTTAGTCAGGGCCGGTTTGTGCGCCCACCTTTGGAGCCAAAGCCTGAAATTAGCCTCTGAACCCCCTGGACTGAGAATAAGAGAGGGGTGGTTTTCTAGTGTACTAGTTCTCAAAGTGTGGTCCCTAGATCAGTAACATCAGCATCCCCTGGAAAAATGCCTAGAAACACAAATTCTCAAGCACTACTCCAGACTTACAAAATTGGAAACTCTGGAAAGAAGGTTCAGGAATCTGTGTTTTAACAAGCCCTCCATGTGATTCTGATGTATGCTCAAATTTGAGAACCACCACTCCAGAAGAAGAGATAAGAACAATTTCCAGAGAAAGACAGAAGGATGCTAAACAACAGAAACAACAGATTGTAGCTTGTACCCTCATAAATCATCATGCTTATTTCATAGAAGGAGAATTGGAGGGTCCAGGAAACAATAGGACTAGACCAAGGCTTGATATCAAATAAGCCCAGAGCCAGGTTTTGCACTCAGATAGTATGGTTCTTAATCCAGCACTCCTTCCATCAAAGCACTGTAAAAGAAAACAAGGGAAGAAACTCCTTGCTGCAAGGCATTACACCTGATTGTGTAGAATGTTCATTTTTTAAAGAGCTTTTCTCACCTATGTAACCACTACCTAATCATAGATTGCCCAAGTGCATTTTCAAGACATGAGCTTCTCTACTGCCCTAGAGGGAATAAGGCCCTGAGAAGTGATAGGTACGTCAGGTAGCAGGTTTCATTCCATATCTGCTCACATCCCAGAAAGCTTCCTCAAGCCCAGAGGTTCTGAATGGCCAGATGACATGATTATCTGCAGATGCTACCGACTCCAGGGCCAAGTTATTCATATTTTATATTTGAAAATCATTTCCCAGCTAAGGCCAAATGAAATGACCTTTGCAGAATGAACTAGACTGAAGTCAACAAGAATTTATTGAGCAGGGAGTATGTGTCCAGGACTGTCAGTCATGGCTGAGCTTATGAGGGAGGAAGAAAGCATGGGCACTTCCCCAAAGGAGATCCCAATTCATTTTGGCAGATGAGATGAACACAACTAAAACAATTAGAGAATTTTACAGGCACTCTTGTCCCCCAGTGTGCCCACCGCCTGAACCTTCCTTCTACGTTTGGGGAGTTTTCCAGCTTATAAATCTTGATGAGAAACAGTCTACATCCCATAGAAGCTGGATATAAACTTTCCCAGCTACCCAGGGAATGAGAGCATGGTCAGCTAGTCAGAGGTGACTGACTAAAGGTAATGATAGAGGGAGGGGAAAAAAAATACTGGGAAAAAGATTCATCATTGTGGCAGCAGTGACGTCTGCTTCTTTCCAGGGCACTTTTGACAAAGACGCCAAAGGTGGTGCCAGAAGCCCGTGCTGGGAGTGAGGATGATGCTAGCTATAGAGCCCAATGTTAAAGCAATGGAGCTGTCAGTATCCCTATCAGATTGCTTATGAGCCATGATGTTTGTTATGGATTTTTGTTGTGTGGACTCCTTTTGTTTTCTAGGTCTTCCTTGTGATGCTATGAACTTCTCAAAATACTTCCAAAAATTTTCTACTGGCTGTAAATTTACCAGAGTCAGTTTCTGTTGCTTGCCCCTATATGTCTTGGCTGATAAATGCTGCCTCCCTTCTGTTCCTAAATACATCATGCTCTCTTCCACCATGGGCAGGGTGTTCCCTCAGCCCAGGCTGTACTTCTCCCCTTGTTGCCCATTCTCTTTGCCTAGTTCACCTCTACCCACTCTCTACTCCTTCAGATCCCAGCTTGAATAGCATTTCTTCATGGCAGCTTCCCTGAATTGCTGAAGCACTTCTCTTTTTATTCACTGTCACCACCCTGCACCCTTCCTTGGAAACACTATCCAACTTTGTAAAGGCATGGGCTCTCATTGCTATCTGCCTTCTCAAATTAGATTTAGGCTACGTGAGGGTAAAGACTGTGTCTTTTGTTAAGTGTGGTATCACCACTGCCTAGCTTGGTTTTAGGTACCTGGAAGCTGTGTACCATCTGGGACTGCTGAATGGGATGAGTAACTGAAGATTGTTTGGACATGTGGTAGACACATAAATACTTCTGAAAGGACTATAGAAACTAGAGTGGCCAGGGAAAGTCTCCCGGGGTAGATGGAGCTTGAGTTGAATCTTGAAATATTTGTGGAATTTGAACTGGATAGGACAGGGGCAGCACATCTGAGATTGACAGAACATGGAGACAAGAGTAGGAAAAGGAGTTGTCATTGTATGCTCAGAGAACAAGTAAGTGATTTATCTCTTGGAACAAAAGCCTGTGCAGGAGAGGAAGAATAGGTTAGACTATATATGTAGAAGAGGGTACATTATGATAGACTTTTATTAAAAGAGTCTATTCCTGGCTCTGCTATTTTCAAGCTATTGGTTCTGGACAGGTGCCTTTACTCATCTAAATCTCAACTTCTCCATTTGTGAAATGAGAATAAACCTGGTCCATGATTTCCCTGGAATGAAGTATACAGTAATGTTTGATATTCTTTCTGAAAATCAAATATGATCATCTTCTGCTATGAACCCTTCAATGGCACATTGGTTGTAAGACAAAGCCTGAGATCCATTGCCAGGTTTTCAGGTTCTTGATCACATGACTGAAGCTTACTCCTCCAGCCTAGCTTCCTCTTGATCCATCCACACATTTCATTTACATTTCCCCAAGCTCTTTTGCACCTCTGTGTGTTTGTACATGCTCCTCCCTCTGACTGTAAGGCCTTTCCCTTTCTAGTCCATCTGGTGAACTCCTATTAATTATCCATATAAACCTAACATACGCCATCTCCAAAAACCTCTATTGATTCAAAGTTAATCATTTTGGCTCCCGTCACAGTTTACGTATATGTCAACAATTATCTTTTTCACAAATTTTTATACCTCAGCACAATCTTTGTGCCTGGAACAAAATAGGCACCCACTAAATGTGCATTGAATCAAATCTAGCATGCAAATTGCTGAACACTAGACACATTCTGCTACTAAACACATGATGAGTATCTGTTATGTTCCAGATTAAACATTAGGTAGCAATAGTGGTGGTGGTGGTGACTGTGGAGGTGGTAGCAGAACCACGCAGACTTATGAAATCTCTGATGAAATCGCTGATGAAAGGGACATGCAGGGCAACTAATCCAGTTAACTCCACTGTCAGATAAGGCAACGAAGGCCCAGAGAAGTTACGAGTTTGTTTAAGGCCACAAAGTAATTCACAGCAGAGCAAGAGAAGAAGCTACTCCTTGTGACCCTTTGCTTGGGAATATGCCCATATCACCACCTGCTTTCATGCTTATTATGGTAATAATTATCCTGCCTCTTAGCCACATTGGGTAACTCCTATTTTTATAGTCCCAGCTACTGTTATGGAAGATTAATATTCTTTTCTCCTCCCCATTTTATTACATTATGTGGCTGCAACTAGGTCATAGCCTATGTTTTCCTCTGTTTTAAAGATACATATACAAAGAATGACTTCCTAATTTTGAAGAGTTCATAAATTATAAATTCAGAAAATTTCCACTTCCACCCACCTCCTTTTCTGCTGTAGAAATTCTGGAGCCGTTTGGTGGTGATATGTAAATCTTTGAACCTGTAACAGGAGAATGGGTAATTCTAAGAATGCATCTAAAAGAAATAGTTTGCATCGTTTGGAACAATGAACCATTCTGTAATTGAATAGAAGACCTGAGACAGCATGAATGAGATCATGTCTGTAAAATGGTCTGAGCCCCTCAGAGGCAGCCACTCCATAAATACAAGGTATTGTTGTTCCAGCATTTGTAATACCACATAATATGAGCACTACTCATTGTGAGAGGAAAATGGTCTATATGGGGTTTCATAAATAAAAGCGTGGGCTTGCTTACTCCTCCCTCAATGCTCTTAGCTCTGTTCTGGCCTCCGGGCCAGTATTTTAAACCCTGTCCATCTTGCCACTTAAAATTGTCATGAAAATGTTGGAAAGAACTCAGCAAAATGTGCCATTCATTCAGTAATTCATCCAATGTTTATTGAAAGCCTACCATGTGCCATCCTACACTAGGTCCTTGGTAGCTTGATGAGGTCTCTGTCCTCAATGTCTTATCCCCAGTCCTCCCTCTGGCACCAAGAAGCTCTGGCCTCAAGTGATTATTTCCACCACATTAAAAGTTTTCCCTTGTGGCATGAGCTCTCAGAGCTCACATTTGTGCAAACATTTTATAGGTCATTTTGTAAGATCCTCAGGGATAGGAATAATTTCCATTTTTTATCCCCCCACACAATGCCGTGTGGGTAAGAAACTATTATGAAATAAGGATAAAGGAAGACTATTCATTCAGTCATTCATTCAACCAATGTTTACCAAGTGCCTATAATGTGTTGGGTAGACACTAAGGATATAGGTATAAATGAGAAGTATAAGTTCCTTACCCTCAGAAAAACAGGTAATAAGGTTGTGAACAAGTAAGGATATAACATAATGACAAGGAGTGTACATTTTTTGAATAAAAATAAACCAGGATGAGGGCATTAAAAAGTGACTGGGGACCAATTTAGATAGGTTGGTGACATCTGGATAAGACCTGAGAGAAATAAAGAATGAAGCCACGTGGATAATTGGAAGAGGATTATTGCAGGCAGAGAGAAGAGCTAGTGCAAAGGCCCTGAGTTTAGACACATCTGTGATGTTCCAGGGTCAGAGTGGAGGCCAGTCTATCTGGAGTGCAGTGAGTAAGGGGTAGGGTAACAGGAAAGGAGGTTATTGGGTAGGCAGGGTATAGTTTATGCAGGGCATTTGTCTGTGATAAGGGATGGTGGGTGTTCCCTGTGATGCATAGGTTGTTATCTCTTGTCTAAATCACTGCAGTACCTTCTCACCACTCTTCCTGTTGCTAGTGTGCATCTGACTTTGAAATCTCCATCCAACTTTGGGTCAGATCATGCCACATCCTAACTCAAAACTTCTCAATGGGTCCCTGACATTTAAAAAAACTAAGTTCAAATTACTTTTCCTGGTATTGAAACATCCTGCAATTTCTACATTTTCCAGTCCTACTTCTTTTATATCCATCTACTTTCCCTACACTCTGACTGCATCAGGACACATGACATTCCTTAAAAATTCCCAGCTCTTTCTTAGCATTAATCCTGCCATTCTCTCGACCTCCTCTTCTTCATTGCTCATCTTTCAGGACTTGGTTCAAATGCCACCATCTTTTCAAACCCACAGTTACAATTAAGCTCTCTTCCTTGTGTGCTTCACTAGGGTGTTCCATTTGTGCTGTATTTGACTCTGCCTCAATGAACACAACTTGTGCATGTGTCAGATTGCAATAAGAGTGTCAGGTTTTTGAGAACAGGGACTCTGTTCTTAGTTATTCCCAAATTCCCAGCACTTTGCACAATGCCTGGCATATGACCAGCTCTTGGGAAAGGCTTGCTGCATGACTGATGATCTTCATTGTAACCAAACAACCACAGGAGCTAACATTTGTTGAGGACTCACCATGTGCTTAGTCTTGGGGTAGGAACCTTTAGATGATCTCTTTTAATCTTCACAGCATACCAGGAGTTGGGGTTATCACAATACAAGTTACAGAGGAGGGGACAGAAATTCAGAAAATTAAGGACCTTAATCATGTTCAGTTTGACACCAAAGCCTGTGCTCTTAACTGTTACAGTGGACAAAAGCTCTAAGATCGTTAAGCTCCATTTCCGTGGAGGTCAGAACCAACTCACAGAAAGACCGAGAGATTCCAGTTGACTGTGGAGAAGGACTTCTTGGAAATGAAGATTCTTCAGTTCTGGGATGGGTTGCCAAGGACCTTGATGGATGAAAATAAGATTGCCATGACCCTAGAAGGAAGTGACCGGGATTCCTCTCTCCCCAGGTGACCCTTGGAGAGCTCTCATTCCTAAATTTACCCTACCGGGCTTTATCTTACCCAGAGAGAATAAAGGGCTCGGACTTGTATTCAGAAGTCCTTGACTTTAATCCTGGTTCTGAGTATGATCTTAAAATGGTGGCAACGTTACGTTTATAATTATAAAGCTTCAAAGAGTTGTCATTGCTGGCCATTCTCCCTCCCTGCATTTAATGTATTAAGTAGCTATTTTACTCCCAGAAAACTTCATCCCCACCATACACGGACAGGTGACATATAGTCCCTATCATTGTCAACAAATTTGTATTATATTTGAGAAGATAAGACAGACATCCAGAAAACTGTAAAACTCATCAGTATATGATAAACACCAATGTAGAAACTTCTACATAAAAGCTTCTAAGTAAGTGTTTATGGATGACTGACCAACTGAGTTAATTAAATAATTCAAGAAACATTTGTCAGCATTACTGAGTTCCCAGCCTCGCATGATGTAAAAATTATGGGAAGATGGACCATTTCTGCCTGGGGTGACCTGAGAAGCCTTCACTGAGGAGATGACATTTGGGAAGAGTCTGAATTCCAGAGTCCATGAGAGCAGGGACTTTGTTTAATTTGCTACTGTATCCCCTTATTCAGGACAGTGCATGGCACGTGTGAGCATTCTCTATGTTTTTGTTCAATGAGTGAATGGATATGATTGCAGTGGCCAGGTGAAAAGTGCATGTGATGGGTAGGAGCTGGGCTACCTTTCTCCTTACACAGCCATGCATAGGAAGTCGAAGAAGCTCCACTCAGCTCCAGGACCGCGAGTGCATGCCTTCACCTTCCCGGCCTTCAGCATTATCTTTTGTCAATATTGCATGTGCACCAGATGTTATCCTGAGAGTCCTTCCAGGTGTAATGCCCTATATTCAGAGTCTTGGCTGAAGGATGAGGAAGGAATGGGGGACTCATGATTTGACCATATCTCCTAGCCAGAATCTCCCAGCATTTCTCCAGGACAGTAAAGGAAGCAATCTCTGAAACGTATCTGTATCTCTCTTATGGCTTTTGACCATGTTGACCCTTCAGGGTTCCAAAGGTCCTAACCAGAGTGAGCAAATGCTCTAACGCCTCTCTATTGTGACTCACTGGGTGGCCTTGGGTGAGTTACTTCTCCCCACTGGGCCTCAATTTCCTCATCAGGAAACTTGAGGCTGGCCTGGACAATCTCCAGGGGCCTCTTCCCTCTACCATTGTATGCTATAACCTGTACTGCTTTGAGTTGGCAATAGTCATCATCATGACTAATATGTTCTTGGGCTGGAACGTTTATGCCTAGCAAGAGCTTGCAGGATGGAGTGGGTTTCCCTGTGTGCTGCTATCAGAGTGAAACACACCCTTCAGCTCTCAGAGATGGGCTTAGGCAAGGACACCTGCCCCCACCAGGGATGATGGTCTGGCCCCATGAGACATGGGCTTGTGAATTTCATGGCAGTGCCTGGAACCCAAAGCCTGGGCCTGATCCAGGTTCTAGGTGGGAGGATGTTGTCACTCAGAAGTCAGTTTCACCCACTAAATGGAAAATTCCACTCTATTAGAGAACTGATGCTACAAGGAACTACAAAAGGGCTTTTGTTTCTGAAAATCTTGAAGCAGAGCTCATTAAAGGATGTTCCCAATGTCCTCTAGATACAGGACTAAGAAATATTTTACTCTACGGCATTAGAAAAATTACTTACATCCCTTGCTCGTTTCCACATCTCTCTTAGGAAAGATACTAGGGAGCTATAAAGGATGTGAGATCCTCCCCTACACACTGGGATGAGCTTTATGGTCAAACTCCGAACCGTTTAGATTCATAGCTGTGCCCTTGAAACTGTGATGTGACAATGGATCATTGTTGTCTCTCTAAAGCTCTGATTCACCCTCTAAAATAGACATCATCCCTGCCTCCCAAGGCTGTTCTAATAATGAATAAATTAATACTTGAGAAATAAATACTTGAGAAATAAATTATGAAAAGGACAACAGAGTGGCATAGAAGAATAATAAATACTTCAGATTCTCATGGGTCTGCGTTCCAGTCTTTCTGAGATATGGAGCCTTGGATAGGTTACGTTCCCTCTTGAGCTCCCATTTTCCAATCTGACAAATGGAAATATCTTGCAAGATTATTGCAGAGATTAAATGAGATGCTATATGAGAAGTATCTTACGTAGTGCCAGGCACATGATAGGCATGCAGCAAATACTATTTCCTGTCTCTATTCGTCTCTGTACAAACATATGAAATCTAGGCATATCAGTAAGATGCATTGTGCACTGTATAGTATTTCTGCTTCTGAGATGCTAAGCATGCTCTAGGCTTACTGTGGATTTTAAGGAAATAAGTGAAGGAGAAATTATTCTGATCCATGAAAACTCGTGTGGCCTGCCAGAATCATGGGAGCAGAAATAGCAGCATCTCAAGCCTAGCTCTAAGAAGAAAACTCACTTTCCTTTATTACTCTTTTTAATATTTAGCTTTTGGTCCCGTCCAGAGAGCAGCAACAGTACATTCTCTCTCCTCCAACTCAGTTGTTGGTTATCAAGATCAGGCAGAAAGGTGAAGCTTCTGTTTTCTTTTGGGGGTTCTCTCAGGTTCTTCTGGCTTCTTTTTGTGGATCTCGATATTTTGTACGTTCAGTCCCTGCCAAATAGCATTGCCTGATGGAGAAAGGTGGCCCACCATGCTGGCATCAAGGACATTCTTGATACCTCGTGTGTTTTCCCCAAGAACTGGCAACCAACCATCAAGATAAAGAAGACTCCAGGCATGTAAATCCCGAACAATGACTAAAATTCACATTTACTTCGTGCTCACTCCCTTGCCAAACAATTAGCATAGATTCTCTTTTCTAAGCCACAAAGCAAAACTCTGAGATAGGCCATTTTACTAGCCTCATTTTATAGATGAGGACTCAAACTTAAAAGAGGTCAGGTAAGTTACCCAAGCTTAACACACTAATAAATGACACGGCTGAGATTTGAATCTAGGCTGTCTGGTTGCAGAGTCTGTGACTTTGCCCTCTACCCAATTCCTGCCTTTCAAAGACGTGAGCCTCTGTCCTGGGAGTAGCCACAAGGGTAACACTAAAGCTCTTTGAGCTAGTGCTCAGCTTAGGTTGACTTCATTGCATTTGGGTGCCATCTTTCTGAGCTTGCCTGACATGGTAGCCTCTACTGTTTGACCAAGTCAATTCCGTCCTTGATGAGGGCTTTGGATAAAAATTCCATGGAGGAAGGCCATGGGGAAAGTCAGCATATGAGGAGTGCCACCTGGCAAGGAAGAGTGGAAGAGCATTTCAATACTGACATCATCAGGAATTGTCTAATAAAAAGCCAACCGAATTTTAGTTGATCTTATTTTTTTTTATGTTTATTGCTTATTGATTGTATTATTGTCTTTAAATTCTTTATAGACAATATACCCCCTTATTGCCTACACCCAGGGTGGACTACCCTCACTGCCCCATCCTAGGGACACCACTAAGGGAGAGTAAAGATTCTAGAAATCCTTTCCCCTGTATCCCCAGAGACCTTTGCTTTCATGTGGTTTATAAATTAGGGTTTGGACAAAGCTTTGGTTGGGAAATAGGTTTTAATACTAAAAAAGAACTTGAAACCACTGGCCAAGACTTCTAGAATTCTGTCCAGTCTCAACATTCCATGGTTCTAAAACTGTACTCCCCTGGGAAGAGTGATACAAAGCATCATCTACATAAATGCACAAGTTCCCCTGAAGGCATTTTGGAAGGAACCGTGGATATCTCACACTTTATGACACTTATTCCTGATGTGGGTTATACATTACTTTTTGAAAAACAAAGAAAGTAGGGGCCGGCCCGGTGGCACAGTGGTTAAGTTCGCATGTTCCACTTTGGCAGCCCAGGGTTTGCTGGTTCGGATGCGGGGTACATGCATGGCACCGCTTGGCAAGCCATGCTGTGGTAGGCGTCCCACATATAAAGTAGAGGAAGATGGGCACGGATGTTAGCTCAGGGCCAGTCTTCCTCAGAAAAAAGAGGAGGATTGGCAGCAGATGTGAGCTCAGGGCTAATCTTCCTCAAAAAAAAAAATAAAAAACAAAGAAAGTAATGTTTTACTGTGTATTCACTATTTATCAGGCACTGTGCTAGGGACTGGCATTTCAGGGAGGAAAAGGACAAATACGATTCTTGATCTTATGGGGCTTGAGAATACTGGGGGAGAGAGAGGACAACAAATAAACCCCCAAAATATATAATTACAAATTAACGTAAGTGCTAAGCAGAAAAGATGATGTTATGTTGAGCAAGACTATCAGAGGAGGTCATAATTTAGACAGGGGAGGGGTAAGAAGAGCCTTTCTGTTAAAGTTATGTTTAATCAGAGACCTGAAGATTAGTGATAGATGGTAGAGGAGTGGAGAGAGCTTCATTTCTGGAGGCAGGAACAGCACTTGCAAAAGCAGTGAGGCGGGAATGAGCCAAGGTCCTTTGGGAAAGGAGAAGGGCCAGAGGGAACAGAGTGAGGCAATCGTGCAGGAGGAGAGGGCCGGGAGGAGGCCAGCAAGGTAGGCAAAGGCCATGTCTAACCAGACTCTGGAGGCCATGGCAAGGATTATGGAAGGCCCTAAAAGATTTTAAGCAAGAAAATGCCATGACCCAATTTTTATTTTAGAAAGACCCCCTCTGGCTGTGCCATGGAGAACTGAGTCACTAAAACTCACTGAATAATCCTGAAATATCTTTGTCACAAAAATAGTGGCCTCCTTGAATCTCAGCGAGAAAGTTGTGAATTCAAGCTTTTGGGTTTGCCTGAGTCAGCTCCAGGCCTTCTGTGCAGCAGAGTCCAGGCCGTAGAAGATCATAGACACATCTCTTGTGGAGCCCCATGCTACTGGCCGATGTGCTTCCTTCTCTCCCTTCCTCCACTGGGTGAATCATAGTGTTTGTCCAAAGTGGGTGGATCCTCCTGCGAGCTCCCACCCTCCCCATCCTCATCAGGGGAGGCAGCTCTGCCAAGTCCCCCTCCAGAGTCAGGGACACCACCTGTCATCCTGCGTCCTCCTCCTACTCGGACATCTGACAGCCTCCACGACTCGTGAGCTGGGGAAGCACAGATCATCAAAGCTAAAGGGACCTTAGGAACCATCCGGATAAGCTACATAGTTTACAACCTCCAGGAGGGGAAGGGTACCCCTAAGGGCCACAATTAGCTAGGGGCAGAGTCAGGACCAAGGTAAGCTGCAAGGGAGCTTCCTGATAAATACCTCCATCACGGGTGTGTGCTGGAATTTGAATTGAGACATTGTAGGCATCAAAGATGCTCTAGAATGAGAGCTCAGTGACCTGGCTTCCAGGTCCAACTCCACAGCTGGCCTACTGTGTGACCTTGGACAAACTTCCTTTCTTTCTGAGCTGCATTGCTCTCCTCTGTGCCGTGAAAGGATTGGTGCCACAGATGTCTGAAGTCTGTTTGAGCTCTCACATTGCAGGACTGCAGGACTCTGGCAGAGACCTAGACTGGGGCAGTCCTGGTGACAGAGAATGTTTGACCAGTCTCTGCAGTAGCCCTCCTCCCATCAAGCTTGAAGAGGCTAAAGAAGCTGCTGCCATCACAGGCCATCCATCCTCATATCCACATACCTCTGATGGTGTTCCCCCACACCACCATCAACTCAGGACCCTACTCAGTTCTGCTTTTCTTGATAACAACCCCTTAATCCCTGGCAGTTCCCCAGTCCCTCTCCCACATAAAAACATACTTGTCCTATTGCTCACCTTCCATGATACTCAACCACAAAGCAGGTCAATCCATGACCACATCTTAGATAGGATATGAATGACTGGAGATGATGATGATGATGATGATGATGATGATGATGATAGCATTGACTGAAACATCCACTTCATTCACATCTCTCTGTTTAATCATTTCCACCTTACTATAGTTAAAAAACAGCAATAATCATCCCCCCAAAACAAGAAAAACATTTTATATAGGAGAAGAGGGAAGCAAACAGAGATACAAAATGTTGCCAAAATCATTCAGATAATCAGTGAGGCAAACAGGATTCAACCTCATCTCTAAGCCAAGGTTGTAAGTAATTTACTATATTGATAGAGAGTTCATGTATAAACACGTCCCCCAACCTCTGCCCAAACTTGAGGACTTTGCCATAAACCCAAAGAGTGACATGTGAAAGAAGATCCAGTGTGTTGGAGGATTGCCAAGGGGAGACATAGAGTGGAGGGGAGATTTCAACCATGCCAGGAAGGCAGCTGCCCAAACTAAACCAATCTGCCTAATGCTTGGAGCCTGGCCTTGATGTTGCATGTGGTGAAAGACATCCTGGCCCCTAATCAAGGAGGCTTCACTTGCTGGCTGTCTCTCTCTCCCCATCTCTCCTTTTTCCTATGTCACTCAATGATGTTAATTTTTGTTTTTAAGAAGTCCATTACTTTTGTTTGCAGCTCTAAGAGAATCATTCAGATGACTGACAGTGCCCCCTGCCGCTACATTAATGCATACACATAGATGCACACATGCACACGCACACCCATGCATGCACATGTGCATGCACATGGATGCACTAAAAAAATCAGCCAGTGCCAAAAAGAGTAAATGATAGGTGCACTGTGTGTAAGGCTGAGTTCTTATGATTGTGCATTTGTGTATTTAAGGGGATGGACCTATCTTTGTGGGTTTATGAATGATGTCTATGGAGGTAGTTATGGAATATGCAAGCTTCTGTTCTTCCAGTCTGGACTCTCTATACCCTGAGGGTAGAGTAAGTTTTAGGAATCAGAGGAGGGAACAGT